TTATTTTTAAACCAAAATTTAGTTTTAAGGGTAATAAAGATAAATGTATTAATTCCTTGTCAATTAATTTTTTGATATCCTATATTAATTATTTGACACTGTATGTCTATATAGCCAAATTTTTCTAGTAGTGCAATTAATTGGATCTTTCATTAGAAAGCAGAGTCATTTGAAGGATGGATTTAGGCCATTCACCTTTATACATCAATGAGAACATAATAAAGTCAAGATTGAAGATCAAGATAATTAGTGTTACTTATGAGTTTAGCATAAGAAATTGAAAAAATGGACGAGACGATAACCAAATTGAGCCAACCAAATTACAAGTGGCGGCCCATCAACTTATAAAGTCAATTTAAAAACAATTTAAAAATGAAGAATATCCTAACTAGAATGAAAAGTCTTTGCTAATAAAGTTATATGCATTTATTAAAAAATTTAGATATTTTTATTTTATATCTCAAAGAGAACATAACTTAATCAAGATCGAAAATCTAAATAGTATACCTGTATGTTTCACCAAAGAAATTGCGGAAAATGGATAATGATAACCAAATTAGCTAGGCCAAGAGAATTAGATGTAGCAGCAAATCAATCCAATTGCAAGGCTAATAATTCTGTCAGATGATAAAAATTGTAGCCGGCTAAGCAGAAGAGGAGAGAACTTGTCCAAATTATAACTGGAAATTTCCTGGAAGATGCCTAGAAAATGCAAATGAAATGAATCTGCAAAAAGATATCCAATGAGGTTACAATAAGAAAGGTGCAAAATTAGTTTGTTATTATAAAGTGATCAATAATTGTGCAATTGCTTCCTATTATAACATATAAAAGAAAGATCTAGGTATGGAAGGGGAAAGACAAAATAATAACATATAATTATGTTGTCATGTGTTAAATTTTGATTAATTTATTTCAATTGAAATGTAAGGAAGTTAATTTCATTCAAATTAAAAATATAAGAGGAGATTTATTTTGAAATATATAAAAATATATTTCGATAATCCTAAAAGTAAATGGGTAAATATACTATTTTTGTAGTCTTTTATTTATTCTAAAATAAGTTTCAATTATTTGCCTTCTCCTTTAAATAAATATTTTCCTCATTGTTCAATATTTCCAAAAAATTTTATCTTTAAAAAAGATGATTTAGTTGTCGGGGATTCCTTCACTTACCTAATAAAAGCTATGTAAAAATTAAGGATATTGGTAATTAATCTTGCAAAATGTAAGGTGCAATGCATGATTTAACATTGTTTAAGGTGATAATTTTGTTTGAGAGACTGGTTGCAAAATATATTTCAACAACATATATTTAGTAAGTCTCTAACAGAGTAATGATATGGCATGATGTTATTATATGTTAAATTTTTAGTTAGTTGTCCCATCCAATTAATTAGCAGGGCAATTTGCTTATGTTTTGTGTGAAAGATTGGATCTGTCAACTATAATTAAAGGGTGAATTTAGAAATTCTACCTTTATATATCAACCAGAACTTAATCAAGATTGAAAATAAAAATAATTAACGTTCCTACGAGTTTAGCAGATGGAATTGAAGAAACGGATATCCATAAAAGTAATAGCCAATCACAAGCCTAGTTATTTATAACTAGAGGGATGCAATGCATATTTCTTGGAAGACAATCATGATTTAGAAAGATCACGAGGGGAGATACTTGTGTATTTACTAGAAGTACTCAAAAAGAGAACTCACATTATTAATTAAGTAGCTACTAATTAATTTGGTACTATAAAAGCAGGCAATTTGAAAAAGAAAAATGGATAAAGAAAGACAATTTTAAAAGGATTTGTTTAATTTAAACATTTAAAACATAAATTTAAAAAGTATTAATTACATTTTTTTAATTAATTTATATAAAAAAATAAAAGTTGACTTTAAATTTATCAACTACTCAATCAAAATCATCCAAGTGATATTCATATTAAAAATAATGTTTTATTTTTACATTTTTTTATAAAAATTTATTATAAAGTTATATTTAATGCATTTTAATATATACCCGAAAGACGCAAGTTAGATAGATCCATTTGAAGAATCTAACAATTTGTGCTAAAATAATTTAAGAATGACGAGTATCCTAACTAGAATGAAGTTTTCTCGTCAATAAAGACATGTATCTATAAGAAAATTCATATATTTTTCATTTTATGTCTCAAAGAGAATATAACTGAATTAAGATCAAAGATCTAAATGGTATACCTCTAGGTTTCATTGAAGAAATTGCAGAAAATAGACCCTAATTGATGGTCAAATCAGGTAGGCCAAGAAAATTAGAAGTAGCAGCGAATCAGTTCAATTACAAGGCTAATTTTGTGAGATGATAAAAAGTGAGTCGGCTAAGCAGAAGACGAGCGAGAACTTGTACGAATTATAGCTGAAAATTTCCTAGAAGATGCTTGGCAAATGCCAATGAATGAATCTACAAAGACAATGAAAAAGTTGTAAAGTTACTTTATTATAAAGTGATCAATAATAATCTCAAGGGTTGGTTTTAATAATAAGTAATGTCATCTTATAAATTAGATCCAAGGAAATTATTCTCTTTAAATCATTTATTTTTTTGCTTTTTATCTATTATAAAAATAAATTTTAATCATTTGCCTTCTCTTTTGAGGAAAAGTTTTTCTCAATATTCCTTATTTCTAAAGATTTTTGAATTTGAAAAAGATAATTTAGTTGAACTCATAATGACTTAGGGATTCCTTCCTTGACCTAATAAAAGCTTTGCAACAATGGAGGACATTGATTTAGAGTTGTTTGTTTAAGGTGATATTTTCGTTTGGGAGATTGGTTACAAAATATTTTAACATATATTTAGTAAGACTTTAACAGAGTCATAACATGGCATAATGTTACATATTAAACTTTTAGTTATATGTTCCATTCAATTACTTAGTGGGGTGATTTGTCTCCATTTTGTATTGAAGGTAACTGGATTTGTCAACTATAGTTAAGAGTTGAATTTGAGTACTCTACCTTAATACATCAATAAGAATGTAAGATAATCAAGATTAAAGATAAAGAGAAAGATAAATAGTGTACCTGCAAGTTTAGTGGATGGAATCGAAGAAATGGATGTCCATAACCAAATAAAAATTAGCAATCACTTAGCTTAAATATTTCATGCCTAGTTATCTGTAACCAGAGGTATGCAAATGGATATTTCCTGGAAGAGAAACATGATTTAGAAAGATCACTTGGAGACACTTTTATGTTCACTAGAAGTATAAAAAAAAAAAAAAAATCACATTATTAACTAACTAGCTACTAATTAATTCGATAAAAGCAAACAATTTAAAAAAAAAAATCCATAAAGTTGATGAATATTCTAACTAGAATGAAGACTCTTTGTTATAAGGACATGCATCTGTAAGAAAATTTAGATATTTTTATTTTATGTCTCAAGGAGAATATAACTAAATCATGATTAAAGATTTAGATGGTATACCTGTAAATTTGACCAAAGAAATCGTAGAAGGCAGAGACCCTGATTGATAACCAAATTAATTAGCCTCAGCCAAGAAAATTAGAAGTAGTAGCAAATCAGTTCAATTGTAAGGCTAATTCTCTGAGATGATATCAAGTGAGTCGGCTAAGGAGAAGAGGAGAGAACTTGTACAATTTATAGCTGGAAATTTCCTGGAAGATGCTTGGCAAATGCTAGAATATGCCAAGACAATAAGAAAGGTGCACAATTACTTTATCATAAAGTCATCGATAATAACCCAAGGTTGCATTTAATGGTAAGCAGTGTTATCTTGTAAATTAGGTATGGAATTCAAATATTGAGATTAACATCTAAATAAATTAATTTATTTGAATATAACAGGTCAATATGTGATAGGATACATTTTTAAAATTGTTCAAAAAAAAATTAATATTATGGTATGCAAATGTTGGCACAAAAATATCTTAATTGTAAATATAAAAAAAATAGTATGAAATATAAGGATCAATAATTATGGAACTGCTTCATAATATAACATATAACATAAATTGAAAAGGTTATTTGGTATAGTGATTTGAAAGTAATGATTAATGATTTTATCTAATTTAATTATTAATTATTATTATTTATTAATTTAAATATTTTTGTTTATTGGATTAAGTAGATCATTAATTATAAATTGTTATATTAAATAATTTTTTAATATAGAACTAGAGTCCATACCATATAAAACAGATTTCTTTTGATACATATATGCTGATGTATAATTTGATGGTGATCAATGTTTTTGAAACTGAAAAGCTATTTGTATTGGACTTTGCATAGCAGTGAAATGTGAACTGAAGAAAAACCTGTCCAAGGATAGACTAAAGACACAAGTTCTATTGCTTAGGATACCGCAGGTGTTGGGATTTAAAGTCTACTTCTCATTTTACAACTCTAAACCAACGCAAATGCCACTGAAATGAATCTGTGAAGACATCCAATAAAGTACTACAGTGAAACGCAGACTTTGTTGAAGATAATTTAGTTATGGGTTTTTGTATTTGTATCTTAAA